ATGTGGGCTCTTAATAATAAGGCCTATCACACAGCTCAATTAATCTACTATAATAATATCGCCTGTGATGCTAACCTGTTCTGTGGGTTTACACTTTACAGCAGTTTTTCCCAACCTTGCCCATTTCTAGGTTAATGGACTTAAACTGCCAGATTCTTATCAATCGCCATGCTGGCAGTGGAATTCTGGGAGCTGAAGTTCAAAAACCAAGAAATGCCCAAGGCTGGGAAACACTGCTTTACAGCTAACATCAAACAATATAACACATCTTCTCCTACATATCCTTTTTCAAATTTTCCTTTGGGAAAAAAAGACTCTGTTTACTAGTTTTGGCATTATTAATTTTGAAAGTTTTTCAAACAAGTGTAAAGTCGGAAAGAAATTGACTCCAAGAGATAATTCCAAATAATGGGCTATCTGTGCCTAATGATAGAATTCCTCTTGAATTGGATTTGTATTAGGATTTCCCTTGCCAAACAAAGAAGAATGATAGGTAATTAAATTGCCCCAGGTGTTGTCTGGGGTTGATAAAATGAGCTAATGGGAAGCAATGAGCTGAAAGTAATAAGTGTGAGGAAAAAGAGAGTTGCAAGTAACACTGGTAAATGTAAGATTGTTTGATAACAATGTTTTGTTTTTAAGTAGAAGAATAGGGTGGGATTCAAAGTCCTAAAAGGTAATCAATATTTAATAGTGATACATTTTTAAATTGTGAATAGCAAATATAATAATTGATGCATTTACAAAAGACAACATTTAACTTTCTGTAATATGTTATTTTTATAATAGTAGGGCAGTTCTAATTCTTGAGCATTACTTACTTGGGAGATGCTGTTTGATTGTTGAGTGTGTTGCTGGATTTAAAATGCTAGTGAGACTTCCCAGTCTGTTACCTAGACAAGGTTAAGGCACCTTCCTCTAGCTTAATGATCTCCAGATATGGTAGACTGTAATTCTCACAATCTAACTAGCATAACTTTTGACAATGGGGGAGATAGGAATTTTAAGTCATTATTTTTTAAAGCAACAGTTTTGATAGTCCTACTATTGAGTCCCAGTGTGTTAGCTCCCAAATATATAATGTCATGTGTAGGAGAAAGTTAAACTTAAAAACTAAACTCACACAAATGCAAATGTATAAAGTAATACTGAGGGATCCTTAGTGCTCTCTGAGCTTGGTTGTTTTCCTGCAGATATTTCATTATCCAACTAGGTGACACCAATGCTTGAAATATGAGGCTTGTTACTTCATACTTCAAACTTCATAGCCTTGCTTACAGCCTTGAATACCAAAGACCTATCATTTTTTTCATGATAAACTCTCTTAACTTTGTTAATGGAATTTATTCAGTTTTATAGCTATCTTTAAAATTAAAGTCAAGACAGTAGCCATGATGATGCAATTTAAGTTTCACCTGAGGAAGATGGAGCTTTGATCACATCATTGCAGCTGTTCTCTTAATTTTTTTTAATTGTATCCTGTGGGCACTCCTATAAATTATTACTGAAAGTATTAAAGAATCCTTTTAGTTGGATTATGTTTGGCATCTCTTTTAGTTTCCCCTGAGTGACTATATGGATATATTTGTTGTTTTCTTTTCAACTGTATAAAAGTGGCTTTCATGATGATTTCACTCCAACTTACATCTTTAGCACTAGGATTTTCTGATAATCTCATATCCAAGTATTAATCAGTTGTGATTCTTTTTCCCTTTTTGAGATTAGCTAAATCCAGCTACGTGTTTCTAGATTTTAGAAATGCAGGAATGTTTGGTTGGAGATCCAGAGAAAATCAAATAGTTTTTATAGTTATTGCAATTTAAAAAAAAATTAATATCCTAGCAACAAACTTTCTTTAACTGGACCAGTGTTTTTCATCTTTAGCAACTTTAAAATATCTGGACTTCAACTCCCAGAATTCCCCAGCCTGCATGAGGGAAGGCATACTGGCTAGGGAATTCTGGGAGTTGAAATCCAGACATCTTAAAATTGCTAAGGATGAGAAGCACTGAAGTAGACAGTTGTAGAAAGTTTTTATATGGTCTAGCTAGCCTTCTGAATTTGGGGATAAGAAAAAAATAAATAAACAGCTTCTGTATTCCCTGCTTGCACTGAATCATGGCCTAAATATGTCCTGGCAGTATGTTTTCTCAGCTTTCTTCTCATGACATTTCCTCCTTCTCCTCTCAGGCCCATATGTAAATTGCCCTTAGTCTGGTCTATAATTTATTTACGGTGACTGAAGATAGCAACCTCATCCAACTGCAAGATAGGGATGCCAATGGGACAAGATGTTTCATGCCAGAATAGTTTTTAGCTGACTTAAAGACAAAGAGAGAGTGGCTCTCAATTCAGCAGTATATAAACAAAGCCTAGCTCGTGTGCTGGCTATGTAGTGCTGTGATATAATTACTTCCAATGGAGTAATTCTAGAGGAGAAAGAAGGAAAAATATGAAATCCTCATAATTCATCATTCATGACTTTGGATGTTTCTTTTCTCCTGGAATCCATACTTCTTGGAACATGGCCTGGAATGGCAGGAATTAGTAGTAGTATGATTAGTCTTGCAACCTTATTAATAAAATAAAATGTAAAATAAAATATAGTACATGCATAGTCTAATTCCAAAATAAAATAGATAGGAAGAAATAGTGATAAAATGCATAAGTGGTAATACAAGGAATCAGTAACTGGATAAATGACTCCCTTTTACAGGGTAAGGAAAAAAAATTAAACATAGCTACCTCAATAGTACCTGTTGCTTATTGAGGTACAATTCTACTATAGAAAGAGTCCAAACTATTGTTACCTTAAAAGGGCAAGGAGGAACAGAACATGTACAATAATCTCAATAAGAAAAGATTGAGATAATATCTGTGAGAATGTTCTCCTGCTTTCTAGAGTTTATCTGGTTGCTATGTATTCCTTTGTCCTGTTCTCCAGACAACAAAACCTGAAACCTGAACTGAGAGAGGGGGGAGGGAGAGAGGGAGGGAGAGAGAGAATATTATTCAGGTTTAAGTAAAAGTAAAGGTTTTCCCTGATCAGTTGTGTCTGACTCCAAGGTGTGGTAATCATCTCCATTTCCTAGCCGAGGGAGCCAGCGTTGTCTAAAGACACCTCTGTGGTCATGTGGCCAGCATGACTATACATCGAGGTGCATGGAACATTATTACCTTCTCATCAAAGTGGTATCTATCTACTTGCATATGCATACTTTCAAAATGCTAGGTTGGCAGGAGCTGTGGCAGTGATAATTGCATTTTCTTACATATCCTTGGGCATTGCTTGGGCAGAACTTACTTGCCTCTGTGCTACTGCTATTGTTGGTAAGGTGGCTTTCACTTTTTCATGCAGGATTTTTGGGGCATTTTATTCTATTTTTATTCCTTTAAAGAGAGCTAAATTGATGTGTATCTCTATGTGTATCCCATTCTAGACTGTGAAATCTTGTATTCAAGACACAGGACATGTGGGAAAAATAGTTGGGTATAAAATGCAAAGTAAGGATTGGTGTGAAGATTAAAATCCTAAAGCAGACTGTGAAACAGGTAACTGTAATCTAATTCTAATAGAGGAACTTGTAAAATGCCATATGGGATGGAAGGGTATTGATCAACCAAGGATAGGAAGCCGGCTTAGACTTTTCATTTTAAGAAAGTCTATTTCTGATATTAAATTAGCAATGGAAGTCAGTGTTTATCTCCTTGATGTTGTAGACAGTGAAATGAAAAGAGAAAGAAATGTAAAAAGTTGTATTTGTCCTTGTTTTAGCTAGCCAACTTCATTGATTTTTTAAAAAATAATATTTTGGCTGCTTTTTAGCTTCAGATGACAACTTGTATTTCTATTAGGAGAGAGTTACCATCACTATTTACTTCAAATGCAATTCCTGAGGATATGCTTGAGAGTTGGCTTACCCAACTCTGTGTTACTGAAGTGAAGTCAGCATGAGCTTCCAGTAAATTGATTATGATTGTTTTAGCACATGCATAGATAATTTGCCATTTCCTGGAATATTAAAATATGCAATCGTGTCTGAATTGCATAGCAAAACATAATATTTATTGCGAAGTACCAACACTACTTTATTATTGTTTATAATATTACTATTATTATTAGCTGATTTTTTAATATAACCAAGAGCTGAAGGTTGGGGGAGATTGAGGCACTGTGGGACCATAGTACAATGTTGAAGACTTTAATTTTGCCCTCACTATTGTGCTGGTTGTAATCAGATCCCCTCCTCCCTGTTTCTTATAAGGGAAGACACGTTCCACTGGTACTATCAAAAGCCTTGCTTTCCTTGGAAATGACAACTGAGTTTGGTGCTGGTGTCCCCTCTGTTTAGTCTCCTTGGACGCTTGCTAGCACTTTGTCTGTTTTCTTATCAGAATACTAGACCGCTGCCCCTTTCAGTTTTATTTTCTAAGATTGCACCCAGGAGATATAAAGAATTTTTTAAAGAAATAAGCACAGTGCTTGTGGCTGGCTTTTACTCTTCAGCCTGCTTTCCATTTAGGCATGCAATTGGGAAAGCATAATATGGGAAGTCCCATGGCACAGGAATCAAGTATTATTAAGCTACCTTGGGGGTTGCTTCTGCGTAGCTTCCCATTTGATTACAACTGTTTATGCAAACCTGTCCAAGTATAGTTTATTTGGGAAGTTAAATCTGTGGCTTAATGTGCAATAGGAACACCACACATATGTACATATATGTGCACATACAAACTGATTTGGAACAATTGGGACAAAGTTGAAATTCTCTTCTACCCAGAATCATGGTTCTTTAAAATGTAACCTCAAGCCTAAGTTTTCCAACATATAAATCTGAGTATGGCTTTGCATCGTTTTGCATCGCTCCCTGTAACCTGGTGAAGCAGGTGAATAAAAAACTTCCTCATTTTTGTTGATTAGAACACCATAGTAGGTACACACAACTTGTCTCAACAGGCTTCAAAGTTATTGAAGTACTGTAATAAATTGTTTAGAGCATTTATTATGTAATTATTATTTGTAAGGAAGAAAGACCATTAGGCGTATTTTAAATGTTGTCCCTGAACAAATTTCATTTTAGAAAATGTGTATACTTTACATGCAATTGTTCTAAATCTTTAGAGTTGATAAATAGATATGAACTATTTATGTTTTCAAGAAGTTCAGCATCTCTTACTTTGTCCTCGCAGTGTGGAAGAAAAAACCTAGGTGAAATGCTTCATGAAAAAGTGGCATTTGGTTAAGAAGAACCTGCGTGCACCATCTACTAGTATGGCTCTGTACTATCCTGGCATGTTTCAGAATTTTCCTTATGCATTTCTGCCCCAGGTTCCAATGCACAACATTTACAAGCCTCTTGCAATCATGGACTATAACATGGACTATGGTTACAATGACAGTTTATCCAACCAAATGGAGTACCATCATATCTATGGTCCAAGTCCTTTTTTTTACCCTTATCCTTTCTGGCAATTTCCCCAGGTGACTTCTGTTCCTCTGTGCCAGCCTTACAGTAACTATCGTCCTCATATGGCATTCCAGAGACCAAACTGGGATCTGTGGCCTGAAGGGTTTGTTCTGAGAGGAGAGCTCCATTGGGGTAGGCTTGAACGTGTTATGGGCCCTAGGAGGGACTTGCCAGACTTCGTGAAAGATGATCTCAGAAGAGTCTATGGCACCTATCCAAAGACAGATGTTTCCATAATGTACCAGAATGGTGAATTTATTGTAAAAGGAAACCCCAGAGTAGGAGAACAAGAATACAGGATAGAGAAGACAATCATAAGAAAAGAACCCACCCCAACTGCTAGTGAAGCTGAGGACAGCAGTGAAGAGCGGAACAGAAAGAAGAAAAAGAAATCAAAGAGATGATGTAGTTAGATTAAACCATCCTGACTGAACAAGCACTCATCTCTGCCGCTCTAAAAGCCAGTGATGCTTACACTGAAAACTGGGCTATAAGCACAACACTGGGGGTAGTGAAAAATAGTATTCCATTAAAATTTGTACAGTCTATTGCTTTGTCTGCAGCCAGTAATCACAGGAGGGCTGGTGGTGGTGCATTCACTAATATTTTATGTATAATTGATCTTGTGTTCTTGCTTGTTTTGCCAGTATCTGAAATGATTCTTGCATTGGAAAAGCTATGCAAAAATCAGAATTGCTGCTACCCTTACTTTAAATTTTTGCCAAACCTTTCCAAGGATCTTTTTCTGTCATATGTGTATGTGTGCGTGTATATATATATACACACTAAATAATTATAATTATAACTAAATAATTATAAGATATTCACTATGGTTCTATTTAGAAACTAAAACTTGAAATGACAATATAAGATAATAGTGTATTTCATTGCCATCTATTTTTTCACCTGTAATTTCAGATACACAGAAAGCTAACATTGGGGCAGGATTGTCATTTTAGATTAGCAAGGATTCACCTTGCTTAACTCTTAAAATAGCCTTTTCAATATCTTCTCTGCCATTGATTATTTCTCTGAATCTCATCATCTTATTCACAAAGCTGTGATTGACTATTAGACTAAAACCTAATTTGTACACAAGCTATTTGAGCAATTTTAAATAAAAACAAGCATGTCCTAGTGTGTGATTGTTCTTGTTTAAGTGGAAGTTTCTTAAGTATAATGATAAGACTATATTTTTTGAAGAAAGTATTTCATCAGGTTATTATCTCCTGACTTTGAGGCAAAAGTCAAATCATTTTGATTTTCTCTTTAATATTATTTTGATCTTAGAATTGGAAAGATATTTAGTCTCTTGTGTCCAAAGTTAAATTGACCAATTGTTGGCTATCTTCTGCTTGATCATATTTAGTAACTGATTCCAATTATCAAACTGTTCTTCCTGTTAGGCAGTGTTTCCAGAATTTAAATGTTAAGCACTCTGGAAAAGAGAGGTATCATATAACTGGCCATGGTGCTGAATGAAGAGAGAGATATCTAGTTTTTAATATAAATACCCATGTCTGTAAAGTTTCACAGGCCCACAAATCCTGTTAAAATTGGATTGTATATTAGACTCTGAGTAGAGTCGAAACATCTGTGGATTGAACCCATTTAAACATTAAGAATATTGTGTACTTGGGAACTTAAGGCTGAATGCATAGGAGTAGACTGCATATCTAAGGCATCACTATAAAGATAACAAGTAGGAACTAATGAAATACTGTTTTGATGGAAGTCCTCCAAATTATGTATGTATGTGTGTGTGTATATATGTGTTTGTGTGTATGTATATGTGTATATGTGTATATGTATATATGTATAGGATGGCCCTAATGGCTGTTGATATAATGGGAAACAGTTATAAAAAGTGATATAAAAATGTTGGTCTTGTGATAGTCATGGCAGCATTTTTCATCCTCTGGAAAACTTGATGGGTCAAGTTTAAGAATTGTAAAATAGAGGACAGTCTAAGTAGTGATATTTATTTATATACAACTAAAACTCTTGTGTCTGTTTGATTGTTTGCAACCTTCAGTTGAGTGAAACGGTGCATCACAGGGCAACAATTTTTCAACCAGTGTTTCTCAAATGGGCTAGCTTAAAGAATTCATACAAAATCCAGAAACCATTACTCCCATGGGATTGGATTTGGAAAAGTTGTGGCTGCTTTAGAGCTGCCATACTTCCAGTTAGCCATGATCATGTGATTGTCATTTCCAGTGCTCCCTGCCAGCCTCCCACAAGTCAGTGGGGAACCTAGTGGGAAGTCACAAGTCCAAGATCAGTTGGGCTGCTGCTGAGTGGGGTAGGGAGCAAGGTCTGATGACATTTGTGAGGGGCAAGAGGTCTGATGAAGTTTGTGAGGGTTCTCAAGGAGGCAAGGGGGTGTACAAGAGGCTTGGTGCACACACATGCATGAGATACTGCAGAGGTGAGGGAGGTTGTGGTGGGTGTGGTGTAATGTGGGGGACGATATATGGGGTGTGGGGGAAGCAAAGCAAGGGTTGAGGAGGATGCAAGGGCATGTACAAATGTTAAAGAAATAACTCTGAAATTATGTTTCCATGACCAATGGGTCATGACTTGTTTAGTTACTTCTACTGTCAAAATGAAACAGAAGTTGTCTGTTATTTTTAATTTTGGATTAAGCATATCATCAGATAACAGAGCCTGTTTTTTGAGGTGTTCACCACCTCTGGAAATCTTCTGACATTCCAAACCTTAGTCCAAACTCTCAAGAATAGATCAAAATGGCTACCTTAGAAGCAATGGAGATGAGCTTACAGACTCCAGAAGACATAGAATGAAATCTGGTTAACTGGAAGAAAGTGGACATTAAGATGGAATCACTAATCTTGCAACTGTAGAGGTAGTGATGTTACATTAGCTTTGCAACATTTCCATTGGAGAAGCAGCTGAACCAGAAATATTTTTTGGGGGAAGGGTGCCCATTGTATTGTATTTTATAACAAGATTATAAGAAATAAATATAAAATGTAAATAATAACATACTAAATAAACTAAATAAAACAAAGATTTTTTAAAAATTAGAAACTCCAAAAGAAAAAGGACCTCTCCCAAATAAACTCAATACTCTCTCTCTCTCTCCCTCTCCCTCCCTCTCTCTCTCTCTCTCTCTCTCTCTCTCTCTCTCTCTCTCTCTCTCTCTCTGTGTGTGTGTGTGTGTGTGTGTGTGTGTGTGTGTGCATGCACATGCACATGCACAGGTAGAAACCACTGGTTTAACCCTCCATGCCCCACAAAAAACAATGTCATATAATATGGTGAAATTTGTACCAAATAAAAACATATAGTGCTACAGCATTTTCTGACTGGTAAAAAATATAATTTCCAGCACAGATAAATTACGAATCTTTGTACCTGGAATAACATCACTTTACCATTTCCCAGTGTAATTATTTTGGCAATCCTCCCCCACTTGTGCCGAGTACAACCATAATTCCTTCTGTCAGATTCCAAATGAAAATTTATTTATAGTTCAAGACCAAACATAATAAAAGATGCATACAATACAATAGCTATAAAAATTGTGAGTAAATCCTAAAACAATTAGCTATAAATAAATAAAACTAGCAATGAATAGCATGAGGGAGGAACCTGATGGTTCCTAAGAGCTATGGATAAGAATTCTGCAACTTCCTTGGAGATTTCTGAAGAACAGCCACCCAGGAGAAGGGTAACAGTCTGTGGGGTCCTTGGTGCTCTCTGACCTTGGTTGTTTTCTTGCAGATGTTTCAATACCCAAACTAGGTAACATCAGTGCTAGGGTAACAGTCTCCTGGTGACAATGGCAATGAGAGTTATTAATAATTGGAAGCATGACACTTGATTGCCATTGGCTGTATAACGGACAATAGCACATGAGACAGTCTATCTCCAAGTCTGAACAGAAATAAATTTAACTTTCATATGGGAGGCTTATATATCTACCAGTTATTGCCTTAATAGGTAGCACCCCATTTTTTGCCAAAGTAAATAGTCTCCTATATGGAACGTGTGAGATGTTATAAAATACCTAGGAACAGACTAGGATAAAGGAATGTTTGTGCTATAAAAGGGATGGCAGAGTTCGGTACTGTCATTTTGGATACCTAGATCCCAAATCTGTTGCTTTAGCTCAGCCAGGGCTTTATCAAGTCCCAAAGCAAATAGTTTTGCAGAATGAGGCACATTGATCCCTCACAGATCTAGTTATGTATCGTTCATTAAAATGTTACTCTAAAAAGATGTAAGTAATTTACATCTTTAATCATATTGGATGGTGAACCCAGAGTCAGAAGTAGATTGGTTTAGCTGCAGAAGACCTCTGAGGCATTGTGAGGAGACCAATGTGTCTCAATTTGCTCAGTTCTTTCACCAGGAAGGGACTGCTTTCTCAATATTCCCAGATTTGGGGCATATGTTCCTGTTTATAAGCAATATTTAGAACATCAAACATAATTAGAGCTATCAGGAAAAGAATGGGTTAAAAATACTAACATGTTACTATTTTACCATTGGAGCTTGCAAGAGGTTTTTTAATCCCACAGAATAGCATATTTGCAGCTTACCCTCATAGCAATCATTCAGATTGTTTTGAAAACAACCCAAATAAATTCATATAACAAAGAGCTAGGGACATTGGCAATTTATTTTATTTCCATTCTGTGTGCAGTGGACTGTGAGTTCCCTTTATATCTTTAACATTTCAATTGCTGCTGTGAGAAAAATTACAGCTCAACTTCAAATATTTTGTGAGGGAAATTGTGTAGAAGTGCCCTTATACACATAGCAAATACTGAGAATAGAGTACTGTATACGTAGGAGATGACCAGACTGAGCCCGAGGCAGGAATCAAGTATGTCATCAGTTTGGAATCCCTTCGCACCCACAAGAGATCTAAGTCCAGCCTTTTTTGAATTCCTTTGACTCTTATCTACCACCAATTTGCCTTGCCTATTAGTAGTTCAGTTTCTTGTAGTAGCTAGCACAGATTAAGCTTGCACTCATTTGAACAAGCTTAGTTCCTGATTTCCTGTGCCTGACATTATGCTCAAAGTGTGTGCTCACATTTAAATTGGATGCTTTCCACTATACCAGATCAGCCTTTCTACTTGGATAGTGTCTTTATAGCACTTTAGTGAGTCATTTCTTCATGCCAAAAAGTGACATTGCAACATCATAAACTTTTTAAAGATTGGCTTGGATTGGGTGAATAGCTGCTTAAAATAAAACTGCTTTAACTTTTTAAGAATAACAAATGGTGCCTAAGTTGAATGATGGATGGCAATTATTTAACTGAATGAGTTTGTAAATCTGTTCTTGGCAGCTCTTTGATGATACCTGGAAGCACTTGTGATGAGGCTCTCTGGAGTTTATTAGCTGCCTAGCTGTAGAACTGAATCCACGGGGCGTTTCCTTTCTTCTAAAGCCTATGGAATTCAGTTCTCAGAGCTAAGCCAGCCATGTAAGCACCTTGCTCCTTGCAGATGTCATCTATTGGAAAAAGCAACATGCATTTACTACTATAGATGCCAATGCTGTAAATTTCTCAATTTAATGGACCTTAGTTTAGTAGATATTGGATGTAGTAAATTTTGCACACTATTTTTGTACATTCATAAAATCCCATTCACAATCTTAGCTATGTGTAAAATATGTTAAATGATTGTGCAAAACATATTCAGATTTAATGAACATTTGCTTTAAAGGACACTTGCAACTCTCTTCCCCCATTTGTTAAATCAAGAGTTAACTATATTTTTAATACAGTTGTGTGGGAGGGGGAACTGCTTGCAAACATTTCAACATCTCAGTGTAATCAGACATGTTTATTTTTTGGCAGAATTTTAAAATTCCCTGTTCTCTTCTCTGCCTTAATGCATCTTAAAAACATCTTTCTGTTTGGTGAACCAGCCAGGTTGGAACATGAACCCTACAGTGTCTTCAGCCTACTTGAATGATAGGTGGGACAGGCTCTGAATTGATTCACACATTATATTAAGCCAAGAATTAAGCCAAGGTGATTTTTTTTCCTGCTTTGGAACTCTTTCACTCTGTGTATATATATATGGGTGGGTGAATATGTGTATGTGTGTGTGTATACATATACACGCATACTTACCTACCTACTTACCTATCTCCAAGTGCTGCAAGAAACCCATCTGGTGATATAGTAAATGGACCAATGTTGGTTTTGGCTAGGGTTAAAA